AAAGTCTCCTCTGGCTCCAAACGTCCAACTTGGTGTCCTTCGAGTGGTGAAGAAAAATATAGATAAAATCCCCCAACACCAAAGAAATTTCTGAAGCAATTTTGAATTAGTCGAAAGTCTTAAAGATATCAGATTAAGTCTTAAAATGACTGCTCATACCGACATCACCCTATCATCAGCAATGCCATAGGCATTATTATTATACTGACTGACGCTGCAGAGCAAGTAAATGTGCATATAAGCAATCGATCAGTATTCTTGAACGTTTCTTTCTTCCCCATCGTTTTATTTAAATCAATTGCTAATGATGTGATACTTATGGGTTGGCATTAAAACCTAGACAAAATAAGATAGTTTCTGGATTCTCCTTGAAACTTGAAATCATATATGAGATTAATGGTTTAAAAAATGAACCTCATCTTAATCTTAATTCTTTTATAATGTATTCATACTTATGATGGATTTATACATAGAAAATGTTTTCTTTTGTAAGCAAAAAAGAAAAGAAAAGAAAAACTAACAGTGGCTTTTGGAAACCAGCCGGCCGGAATGAAATAATCTTATTGCGATTTACCATTGCATTTGGAATACGTTGACAGTTTTTCCTTTATTTTTTTTGGGTAGAAAAATAGATCCATTCAAACAAGAAGCAACAAGACTCGACACTGACACACCCTCACACCCACCCTTTTGTTAAGCTAGATCGATCTGAGGTCATTTCAACATTTGAACAAAGTAACTCATTTTCCATTTTCTCAACAATCAAAGATGACAGGCTTAAAGATTCAAAAACCTTTGAAAGCTTAAGCAGGGTGTAATGAGTTCATTTCAATACTCACGTAGTGCCCTTTTATTGGCTACTGTATTATATTAAGCATCCCCGGCTGGATAATTATCCAAAAAAGACGAAAGGGCTGCTTGAATCTTGATTGTCTGTGTCTCTGGTCGATGGGAGTCTTTTAGACCTGTTCATGGGCCGGGTAACCCGATTGCCTGGCCCGCATCCCGGTCGGGCTTGGTCATGTAATTAGGCCGCGGGCCTGACCTTGGGCCTAACACAGTAAGCCCGATTGTATTTCGGGCCAGGCTCGGGATTTGTCAAAAAAGTCTGGCCCAATTCAGCATTATATATTTTATAAAATATATAATGTGTATTTTATATATTATATGAAATATATAAATAATATAATATTTATTAAAATATATATATATATATATATTTATAATTTAATATATACATTTTTTATTCTTTTCTGTATAATTTCTCTCTCTCTCTCTCTCTATTCAGTCGCTTCAACAGTAATAACAGTATGGGCTAAATTTTGGGCTCGGGCCCAGGCCCGGGCTTCGGACTTTTTATAAGGGCCAGGCTCGGGCCCAAATTGTAGGCCCGATGGTCAGGCCGGGCTCGGGCTCGGGCCTTAGAAAAATCTGTTAATACAGAGTGAAAGCCCTGCCCGAGCCCGACTCAGCCCATGAACAGGTCTACTTTTGAGTATGTCTTTTTTTTTTTTTTTTAATCTTCGTTGACCATTCAGCAGTATGCTTTGCTTTAAGGAGAAAAGAAAAGACAAACTGGATATTGTCTAGCCATTCCAGCTAGTGGAAGTGGAGCGAACTAATAGGAAAATGTGTATCAAATTGTCGAGTTCCAAAATTCCAAGCCATGGATTACGGGAGCATTTTTTTCCTTGTAATTTGCAATTTGCGATGAGAGTCGTGTGCAGTTGTAAGTTGTATACACGACACAGAGGCGAATATATAATTCCATAGTTCTACTCTGGGATATATTCAACTTTGAACATGGGGATTTTTTTTGTATATTTACAGGTCTAGTTCTACTCTGGGATATGTTCAACTTTGAACATGCAGGAAGATGACATGTTTTAGAATCTATTCCAATTTAGGACAAAATAGTATGTACTACTCCAATTATATATGGATCATACAATAAAAAGTGCATATACGACAGAAAAACAATATAGAAAAGCAGAATTTGATTTTGAGAATTAAAAAAAAAATGGTAAGAAAGTCGGTTAAAGAATATGAGAAGAAAAATGGTTTATTTACAAGAATGCATGCCAAATCTATCAAACGGATGCTTATTATAAACATATTTGTCATTTTGTATTTTTACTTTATAAAATATATTTAAAAATTAAGCACCCCGTATTTGGCCGTGTGTTCTTTTGACATTGCATAGAATTAGATTTTAAAAGATGGGTTTTTTTTTTTATATATTTAAAGTTGATTGTCCTAAAGTAGAATTATAACGTAAAAGTTGGCCTACACTGTACTTTCCCATTAAAATTCATTTGCCACCATCATCATAAATTTGAAAACCTGGCCTTAACATGAAATCGACTTCTTGTTCTTTCTATTGTTCTCATGGACAGGAAGAAAACTCCAAATCTATTAAATCCGTACATGTTAAAGATTCATTCATTTGTTCTGATGAGTCATGATTAAGAAGAAAAAACTCCAAATATATCACATCCGTACATGCTAAGATTCATTCATTTAGACTTCTTTCAATTTGTTTGTAGTAGTTTTTTAGTCAGACTTTCAAGCCACTACTATTTTGAATATTGCTAGAATAATTGTAAGGATATTAACAGCCATGCATTTTGAATATTTGTTGCATGTTAAATCAAAATTTCAACCAATCTTATGTTATATCATGTTTGACAAGGTGCACATTAAAGACTTTTAACAACATTAAAGATTCACCTCTGACCTGTTGCTTTATCACTGGTTCAAGTTTCTTGCTTCATTGTGCAATTCATGCACCATAGATTTTGCCTAACAATTAGAAGTGTCAATTGGACTGATTTAGTCCAACCCGATCCAATCCAATGTGAGTCCACTACAGATGGACTGGATCCAATCCAGTCCAAATCCAATACAAACCAAATTCAATCCAATCCATTAAAATATAAATGGACTGGATTGGATCCAAACCAAACCGGATGAAATACCAAAGATTATATATAAAAATTACAAAAACATATTAAAATGAAGAAAATCTGAAAATTACAAAAAATATACCCTTTTGGCATAAAAAATCACTTTCGCGAAAGTGCTTTCATAAAAGTACTTTGATAAAAGTACTTCCATAGAAGTGCTTTTATAAAAGTACTTCTGTAAAAGTGCTTTGTAAAAGTTCCTTAATAAAAGTGCTTTTATAAAAGTACTTTTGTAAAAGTGATTTCATAAAAGTGTTTGTGTAAAAGTACTTTGATAAAAGTGTTTTCGTAAAAGTACTTTTGTAAAAGTGCTTTCGTAAAAATATTTTTGTAAAAGTGCTTTCGTAAAAATATTTTTGTAAAAGTGCTTTTGTAAAAGTACTTTTCATAAAAGTATTTTTGTAAAAGTGCTTTTGTAAAAGTGTTTTCATAAAAGTATTTTCATAAAAGTAATTTTATGCCAGATTCAGTTTTGGTCCATTTCAAATTGGACAAGGGTTTGGCCTCATCAGATTATTGGGAATTTGGTTTAGGTCCAATTCAGACCAATAATAATATGGACCAATTTATTTTGGATTGGGCTGATCCAATAATTATAATGTTCTGTCCAAATCCAATTTGACACCCCTACTAACAATAACCAAATAATATGCATCACAATTGGCATAATATTTAAAAAAATTCAATATCTTTTTAATCTTTGTAAACTACAAGCATGCAAGAAAGGTATTTTATATTAATTATGATGTGGTGGTAATATATTAAAACATATGTCAATTTCTTGAGAAGTCCAACACCCCCATAAAAAGGCCATCAGGAATATCCATCTAATTCAATATAGGCGTTCTAAACATGCTGACTTTCATTTTAAGACCTTGAGAAGACTTTTACCATTCAGCATACAGTTAATTACAGTATAAATTGTTTTGAGACCAAGATTCCAAATACTTTATGCAACTTTAACATCACTACAGGAATTGAATATTAGGTTTCAGTGAAGACAACACTTTCAAGATATTGTGGTAAAGGGTCACCTTGAGGATACTTAAGAAATAGCTATAATTATGTTGACTTGATTAAACTTTTTGAGTCCACTGCCCAGGAGGCAGCCAAACTATCTAAGAGATAGGACTTGAAATGAAATTCAAACTATGTTTCGATCAATAATAGTGGGGGATGGTTGGTTTCTTATCTTCCCCTTCTGATAAGCATGATACTAATTGCAAGAAATATAGTTAGGACCGAGTGCCAACATGCCTTGATGAAAAATGCATGTAAAGAGAGGGAAAAGACATCTAGCATAGGACCCAATAACTGTACATATTCTGAAAGATACTGTCCAACATATTCTTGGGTTTTATAATTTTAATGACTCTTCAGAATCTCATCATTTCTGTTTTACTCCAAATGTATAAATCAAACATAGGTTTCATAGTTTTATGTGTTCATGGGGAAGCCTAATTCTGGATGTCATAAAATGAAAGTTATTAACCACATAGAAGAAGCAAAGTTTTTGGTATTCCACATTTAAAGATCTCTTTATTTATTTTATAGCTTGATACAGGTCGAGCTCATCAATTGGAATGTTTCACAAGGATTTACTAGAAGAGGGGTGTTTGAGCAATCGGGATCTTCTACCAACAATAATCCTACCCATACCTACCCACAGGACATTACAACTGTACAATGGGAACATCTCTCCATGAATGGTAACATGTAATTCGGAAGATGCTTCCAATGTACAGCTGTAGTGTCCTGTGGGTAGACATGGGTAGGAGATCTGAGCTCATGTTTGAATACCCTTGAAGTGATATTGTATGCTTCTATTCCCAGAACCCAATTGCTTTAGGTCATCAGCAGCTTCCTCTTTATTGCTAGGGTTTTTGCTATGATTCTTAAGATAAATTTGAGATAATCTGTAGGACAAGACCCACCCAACTGCAACCTTCAATTCTTATAATATCAAATGCTAATCAACAAAATAATAACATAGAGCAAAGAGATGTTAACCCCTTTGTAACACAAAAATTCATCCAGTCTCTCTCAGAAATGTCCTTCCATCTAATTACCAAGATAAGGATACCAGCCAACTAATAAGCCACTAGCCTATTCAGTGAAACAAAACAAAGAATGAGCTACCATCCAGAATTATAATGTCACAATCAAGCTTAGCAGTTAAAATGTTTCACTAGGATTTACTAAGAGGGGTAATTATTTCAATGCTTAGATGGATGAGTGCTAAAACTAAAAAGATTGGGCTAAAATGAAGTCATATAAGGAACCTAGGAGTAGCCCCAATAGGTGATAAAATGAGAGAAAATAGATCGAGATGTTTTGTCACATGCATAGAAGACCATCTTGAGCACCTGTTAGACAAATTGATTTGTTACAAGTTGAAGGGGCTAGAAGAGAGAGGCGGACTGAAAAGGACTTGGGTGGAAGTAATAAGAAATGACTTAAGCTCCTATAATTTAATGATGGATAAGGCACTGAACTGAATGGAATGGCAAAACAGGATTCATGTAGCCAACCTCATATAGGTGGGACAAGGCTTAGATGATGATGATGGTGATGACGACAACGACGATGATGACAATAAAGGTCTTGATCACTCTTGCTGATTAAAAAAACTTGTAACTGCAATAGTTTTAATATTTGCAAGTCATATACATCACTTAGTAAGGTGAAAACATGCAAACTACTAGAATGCCAAGTATTATTCTCTAAAAAGAAAAGAAGGAAATAAAGTTTTTGATTCTTTATGGGGGCAGGGTTCAAACCTCCAGTTCGTTATGCCTCCACCAAAATTATCAATATTGGGGCCTGAGGTCACAAGCTCATTCTTGTCCAGTGGATGATTTGGGCATTTGGAGGATGCGAATATTGGTTGGAGCAAAATGATATTGTTATTTCTTACTTATCCAACCATTTATGTGTACTTGTGTACTACTAAAATAATTCATATATGTTCCGGTAGTAATGTTTAGATACCTGTTCCTGATTATACTTCTATAACAGCATTAGATACATGCATACTAATCTCACAAGCATGCTATGGTACATATTTCTGTTCATATTCTCACAGGATGTATTTATTTGCAGAAAATATATATACAGAATTATATGCTACAACAAAAAATTGTTGACTTAATCCATTATATGGTACTCAAAATACAAATTAGAATATTGAAAATTTCATTCAGCTAACCTGAAAAAAATCTTTTCCATGACTGCCATGGGAGAAATCCACCTGAGATGATAAAAGATCCGAAGGCAGATGATACATCAAGAAGATATTCCACATTTAAGTGACATGATAAATTGGTAAAATAAAGAAAAAGAACAAAGCATCTCTATAGTTATCTAAGAAGTAATGAAGTCCCTATTATAGACAAAATATTCAGAGTGCTAGGAGTACATAAAAAAGAAAAGGGTTTCTGAGACATACCACAACCAGGACAGCGGAAGTAGTATTTGCCCCTTAAAACAAGTCCTGAGCCTCCACAAAACTGACATCTTCTCTGTGCCACCTACAGTAATATGCGAAGAATATCAAGTCAACTGTGTAATCTTATGACTAATCAATCTTACACAAGAAGTGACAAATAAAACCTTGGTGAATAATTGTAATAGTATTCATTTGTTACATTTACCCAACTGCCAAATCCCCTAATCTTTGTCAAATCGCATCTACTGACCATTATGTAATTAAAAATTTATGTTTAGATTCCTTATGATTTGCTAAGATGATTACAAAACCCTGCATATCATCCATTTACCACTCAAGCACTTCACTTTAAGATCCATTGCTTAAAGTGAATCAATGAGCCAACTACAAGCGGACATTTTTCTTGCCTTCTGATGAATCAATTTTTGGTGATATATCAATTTTTTGTGCTAAGTACCTCGTCATTTGGTTTGCTTCCAAGTGGTCGATGACTCAGAGGCCGAAGTGAACTTTTGTTGGATGAGGACCTGGATGTCGAGCTGACCAGGCCGAGCTGGGGGCAGATTAGGTGCCGAGTTAACTGGGCCGAGCTGGGCAGGTTAGGTGCCGAACTGACTAGGCTGAGCTAGGCAGGTTAGGTGCCGAACTGACTGGGCCGAGTTAGGCAGGTTAGGTGACAAGCTGACTGGGCTGAGCTAGGCAGGTTAGGTGACGAGCTGACCAGAGTGCCGATCTGCCTATTAGGTGCCGAGCTTATCAGAGGGCCGAGCTGCCTATTAGTTTCCAAGCTGACCAGAGGGCTGAGCTGCCTGGTGGCGAACTGGATTGATTGTTGAGCTTCGTAGTTCTTTAGAGACCTGCAAGGAATCAATGTCAGAGGACCCGGGGTGGCTAACCCGGCAAGGTCGCTCCGATGCTTAAGTCAGTACTCTCATAGTAGACTGCGAGCTAAAAATCACAAAGTATGAGAGCTAGAATATGCTTACTTGCCCCCCCCCCATGTCATTGGGGTTGGTGCCTTTATATAGGCATTGTTTGGCGTGGGCTTCACGCACCATATCCGAGATTTCCACGAGGTCGTCTAAGTGGTTCGAGATTCCCGGAGGCAACCGCCATGCACGTTGACCACCCTCCGGAACGTTCGATATGTGGGCCAACTTCCAATGATCGTGGGAGTGTTAGGATATGCATGCCAAATTTGTTGGCAAGCACGTCTCACAGGTCGCCAGGTCGGCACCTGGGCCAGGCCGTCAGTTCGCACCTGGGACAGGCCACCAGTTCAGACCTAGGCCAGGCCGCCAGGTGGGACACCATCAACTTGGCTAAGGAAAGTTGTTGCCTAAGTGGTTCCGGGTGTCACCTATTTGTTCCAAGGTTCCATGTGTCACAATATCATTGGAGGGCCAAATCCGCCCTCATCATTTGCCCCCCACTCCCGAGCTGAAAGTAACTTGGCGAAGGGAGTAGATTGCTCATTTTGGCCTGAAATGACTAATTCGATGAGATCGTAAGCGTCGATTCAATTCCTTAGGCTTTGGGAGCGACTCGCAGTTCACTCTCCTTACCCTTGATTTTATCCATGCCAAAGAGGCGACTGGGTCTTATATGGTGCCGAAGTCTTTGCTAGTTCGACACTTTAGCCCTTAGTCTCTGGGAGCGACTCGTAGTCAACTCTCCTTGATCTTTGATTTTGCCCATGCTGAAGAGGCGATTGGGTCTTATGTGGTGCCGAGGTCTTTTATCAGCTCGACACCTTAGAGCTACGGCTATGTTGCATCAGCCTCGTTAGTGACGTCGGTTACCCACTCCTACAAGAAGCTACTAGGAGCTTGACCTACGGGGGCAGCACTACTGACTTTAGGTCATTAGCTCACACGGGAGCCTTGGAAGACTCGACCGGCAAGGGCGTCCATGCAGTCTGTTGGCCGCCTACTCCCACAGAAGCCAAGAAAAGCTCATCTTTATAAAGGGTACCTCGCGAAGAGGACTGGTGAGGCTTTATCCGAGTTGAAATAAAGTTGGTAGAGCTGCTTAGTCTGTTGGCCATCAACTTGCATAGTCTTTGAGTTCATAAAAAATGGAAACTAGAAAGTGAGAGCTTTTAGTTTCTAAAAGGTGAGAACTTAGCTTTCTGGAAGAGGAGGACTTAGCCTTTCGAATGATGAGAACTTAGCTTTTTGTAGCGTTTCCCACAGACGATGCCAATTGATGAATCAATTTTTTTGTGCTAAGTACCTCGTCATTTGGTCTGCTTCCAAGTGGTCGATGACTTAGAGGCCGAAGTGAACTTTTGCTGGATGAGGACCTGGATGCCGAGCTGACTAGGCCGAGCTGGGGGCAGATTAGGTGCCGAGTTAACTGGACCGAGCTGGGCAGGTTAGGTGCTGAACTGACTAGGCCAAGCTAGCAAGTTAGGTGATGAGCTGATTGGGCCGAGCTAGGCAAGTTAGGTGACGAGCTTACTAGAGGGCCGAGCTGACCAGAGGGCCGAGCTGCCTATTAGTTGTCGAGCTGACCAGAGGGCCGAGCTGACTAGAGGGCCTAGCTGCCTATTAGTTGTCGAGCTGACCAGAGGGCTGAGTTGCCTAGTGGCGAGCTGGATTAATTGTTGAGCTTCATAGTTCTTTAGAGACCTGCAAGGAATCAATGTCAGAGGACCCGGGGTGGCTAACCCGGCGAGGTCGCTCCGATGCTTAAGTTAGTACTCTCATAGTAGACTGCGAGCTAAAAATCACAAAGTATGAGAGCTAGAATATGCTTACTCCCCCCCCCATGTCATTGGGGTTGGTGCCTTTATATTGGCATTGTTTGGCGTGGGCTTCACGCACCGTATCCAAGATTTCCGCGAGGTCGTCTAAGTGGTTCGAGATTCTCGGAGGCAACTGCCATGCACGTTGACCACCCTCCGGAACGTTCGATACGTGGGCCAACTTCCAAGGATCGTGGGAGTGTTAGGATAGCATGCCGAATTTTTTGGCGAGCACGTATCGTAGGTCGCTAGGTCGGCGCTTGGGCCAGGCCGCCAGGTGGGACACCATCAACTTGGCTAAGGCAAGTTGTTGCCTAAGTGGTTCCGAGTGGTTCCGAGTGTCACCTAGTTGTTCCAAGGTGCCATGTGTCACAATATCATTGAAGGGCCAAATCCGCCCTCATCACCTTCATTATTGTAGATTGGTTTCAGTTATCTCTCTGACAAAACACAGTAACATGTGAATGAATAGTTGAGAACGCAAAGAACTAAAACCAAATGGGAGAAAGTGGTATTGATAGCTATTCACAACAACAGCATCTTGAAATACATCCAGTATTAGGGTGTTGGCAATTATTGATAAAATAAGAATGAAATTTAGGAGAGAAATTTGGATTTCTTTGTTATGCTGGATTAATTCATCAAACTATCCTGCTTTTTTTATGCTAATGTTTTTTGAATTTGGGAGAGTGCAAAGTACTGAATTTTTTGTCAGTTCCTATGTAGTGTTTTAAAAGGCATGGGAGGCGTACACCTGGGAGGAGCCCCCAAAACGCCCTGATGTTACGGTCTGACACAGGCTTAGCCTTGCCTACGCTTGGCAGGCTTACGTTAAGGGACATCACCGTCATTTTCGCCTGTAAGATTTTTGGGAGAATTGATGTTATCTTCAGGCAGACCACCAAAAGCTTAACGTACACTTTGAGGAGGGGTGGTCGACCTCCTTGGGTGCCTAACCTTGGTGCTCCTAGACCAACTTCCCTTGCGGGGCGGCCTTGGTTAATGGCTAGCATGGCTACCAGGGTTCCTCATGGGCGCACACATGCTCATGGGGACAGTGCATGGACCAGCACTGCGCTACTGACACTCAAGGGAGGCTTGGCATGCGGGCCTGGCTCAAGCATGACCCTTCACCATGCCAGCCCCTTGCCCAAGCTGAGTGAGCTACCCCGTTGCCTCTAGCGCACGGGTGTGTTCCGGCCCAAGCGGTTGCCTCTCATCATGGCACACAGGTGCCCACATCATCGGCATACAAGAGACCCTTCACATCGGTGCACAATCGCCTCACATCATGGCCGTCCCCCTTTAGCACGTAAGTGGCACCTCCCATGGACCGGCCAGAGCCAGCCGAGTGCCCCGGCCATGCGACTTGAGGTCATGATCCAATGCTACTGACCTTGTTGGAGCCATCTCATCGGGCAACTCCTAGCCTTGCAGCACACAAAGGCTTGTCCTGGCCTACCTTGGCCTGGACGCCGCACGGGTTTCTTCCGCTGTAGAACTACCCCCGTGACACTGAGGCATATGCCAGATGCACCTCATAAAATGACTCTTTGTGGATCCAATAGATGCATTCTAGGTTCAGACTTCAGAATTGCAAATTAATTATGGACTTCAAAGATCTCAAAAGACTGTTCTTCAATTCAGCAAAACATATTTAAGGCTAAACGATACAGTCATTGATATAGAGAAATGGGGAAACAGGATTCATGTGCCTGACCACAGACAGTTAGGAATTTGGGATAAGACTTGGTTAAGATGAGTATCTAGAAGTAGAAGAAACTTCAAACATTCAGCAGTCATCTGATGGTGGATGGATGATGTACTTTTTCTCTGGTATGACCTTGGAAACCAGATGGCATACTGAATTGAGTTAAACATGGTGACAAAAAAAAAGTTCTAACTTGTGGCAGGTGTCAGAATGTTTATCTTCTAACTCTAATTGCATTAGACAATAAATTTCAGTCAATAATGGGTAATCCAGAGAGTTCATTTGGATGGTAAAAAAACCAATGGAGTTCTATTTGTAGAATCAATTCGTGAAACAATAAGAGTGAATTCTCCTTGTTCAATTGATCAAGTTTTTTGGGTTTTAAAACAGGATTACAAGAAATTCTAGTATTGCTTGGATTGTTTGAGTTATTTTGACTACGGGCTATTTCATGGAAGTGAGGTCAAGCCCTTCAAGGAGAAGATATTCAGAGGGGCACGATTAGCTTGGTTACATGACAGCCCCAAGGTTAAATATTTGGCACAAAACTCTTCTCAATTGGTCCCATCAATCTATACAAGAGCCGTTTCAGTAGAAGTGTAGAACTTCCAAGGTCAAAGGTGAGGATCCTTTAATTTGGATTTATGGGCATTGCTCTTAATTGATTGCCTTTGTGTGCCTATTATCAACGCCTGGTGATGGCATTGTTTCATCTGGAAGACACTCATTTGATGGCACCAATGGATAGAAACAAATATTGGAGAGACCGACGAGAAATGTTGTGAGAATATAGGACAAAATTTTCAAGGTTTTCCTATCAATACTTAAATTCAGCCTTATCCATTCTTTAATAGCTATTATGCAAGAATGCTCCTAGACGAGATAAAGTATTATCATATTATGTCAATTTATTTTTGCCTACATAAATATTATTGAACTTACAATTCGTTTGCTGAACTCGATTCCTGCCACCACGAAAGGAGTGACTCCAGCTGAATAATTCCCAACGGATTTAGAAACAGGAAGTCGATAATAATAAAATCAAAGAAAGAAAACAATTTGAGAGAGAGTCAGAACCTATAGTGCCCACGACAATTTGCCAAGTGACAACCGCCTGAGCGGGATCTGCGGCTGTTGAAACGTCATTGATCGCCCGGATTCTTGCTGGAAACTTGCGAGTTCCGATGGAAAACCTTTTTCTGTTTCTCTGACAATGATGAGTGTCAGAGGTTACCGTTACACCCTTTGTGGAAATGCCCTTCGGCATCCTGACGACGAGAACCGATGAAGAAGACATTAGAGTCTCCATGTTCCAGTGTCTGAGAAGAGCTATTCTAGCTTAGTCTTCGTCGCATGAAAACATCTCTGATCTGTGCTTCATCTGTAGCTTTTGGCGCGTAAGCAGAGCCACATAGTCAGGGTCGTTCAAATTAGACCACGTCGGCTTAATTATACAAGACATGGTATCACTGGGCTTGGGCTTTGAAGCTGGGCCTTAGAAATATGAGTCATATGCTATACCACTGCCCATTACGGCCCATTTGGCCGTAGTGTGTAATAGTGTAGTTGTTGGTTGTTGGCTTGTTGCCGCCAGCAGACAGACTTATGGATAACGTTGATCTTGTCCTGTTGGCCTCACCTCATGTTAGAGATATTACAGAGAGAGAGAGAGAGAGAGGTTCCCCGTTCCCGCGATAATTTTAGATATTTTATTTTTCTGCTTTAAGTAGTAACAACGGCTAATAGCCTAATAGTGTACTACTATCATTAGTTTCCTTGTTTAGCTAAAATGAAAGCTTAAACTTGAAACATAGGAGAGCACAGGTTGAAGAAGATAAAGGCGGGGATTTCCGTGAACGGATATTCGGATTAGGGTTTCTGGATATTCTTTTATCTTCAATGGCTATTGTCTCTCTCCATGTTTTCAACTCATATTTTCTCTCGTCATCTACTCATTCTTCCTCTGCTCGGAATCTCTCTCGGTCTCACTTCGGTAGTGAAGTTCTCGTTAACAGCATAATCAAAGGAAGACGAAATTGTACCAGTGTTTTTGTAGCTCTCTCTACACATTCAAACCCTAGGATACTGAAATCTAATAGAAGATCTCGATACGGACAAAGCCTCTCTCCCTACGATAGTGATGACGATGATGATGATGGGGACGATGAAGACTCCGAGGAGTACTCTGATGTGAGTTTATATTCTTAAAATCTTTCCCTATAGTTCTTTCGTCTTTTGAGCTCTAGATTCTCAAGTCCGCCTTTACATTTCTGTCTAACGTTCTACATATTTTTGCCTCCACTTAAGCCAATTTAGTTTAGATTCAGCGTTTGGAGGCGTAACGAAAACAAGGTAATGATAAATTTTGGGATTAAGCTTCCTGACTTTATCAACTTTTAACTGAATTTTCTTGTAGACTTGTACTGTACGTATAAGCATGTTTAATCCGTATTTTCCTGGATTTTGAACGGATGAGTCGATAAGCATGTTTGAGGAAGTTTTCTACATGCTGGCCTGTATAAAACTCAGGATCCATAGGTGAGAATCTGGGATTTAGCGGGAGATAAAATATGGTAGAAGAATGTGCAGTTCCTTTCCTTATAAGTGAGGGAAGGGAACTGCTATTCTTTGTCTTGACAACAATGATTAGTAATCTGATGAGTCAAAACAACATTTACAGGAATAGCAGTTCCATTCCTTCACTTATAATCCAGTCTAGTAGCATGACAAGGACAACCATATCCTGTAAATGTTGAAATAGATTCCCACTTCATACGAGGGGATGTGCTCAGATGGTTATCGCACCCCGTCCCATTCTGGAGTTCATTATTTCTTAACAATTGTAGATGATTGTACTCGATCTACATGGTTGCATTTGTTGCGATATAAATTAGATGCTTGTTCCTTTCTTGTAATGTTTTGTGAAATTGTCAAAATACAGTTCAATGCTCAAGCTGAGTATATCCGTTTGGACAATGGTTCCGAATTTCTCTCTAGACCTGCTCAAGATTACTTGACAGCACATGGAATCTTACATCAAACATCTTGTATAGACACCCCTCAACAGAATGGGGTCGTTGAGTATAGGCACCAACACCTATTTGAGATAGCAAGAGCCTTATGGTTCTAAGAGCACCTACCAATCATGTTTTGGGGAGAATGTATCCTGACAGCAACTTACATTATTAATCACTTGTTAACTCCAATACTTGCTAGGAAATCAATCACCATATGAACTTTTTTTTTCCACAAACCTCCATATAATGATTTCCATACATTTGGCTACCTGTGCTATGCAAGTACATCCCGACGTGGGTGTGATAAATTTAATACTCGTGCCATTAAATGTGTGTTTGTCGGATATTCTAATGGTAAAAAAGCATATAGATTATATGACTTGGCTACTAAGTGGATATTTGTGTCTAGAGATGTGATTTTCTTTGGACCCATCTACACCTCAACCATACCTCTGCCATTCGTTGATGATATAATGGCTAATATAATATCTAATCAAACACCTAGAACTGAACCAGTTTGTGACAACTCATACCTGAACACACTAGTGACATGGACATTATCACTTCGCCAACTCCTGAACCTATTGTTGCTAGCCCACCAACCTCACATAACCATCGCCCACTCCGCTCCAAGAGACCTCCACACCTGACTAATTACATCTGTCCAACACTTCAGTAACAAACAGACTCATGCAACATTCACTACCCAATCTCCAATTTTCTAACTATGATTTCAATCCCCTCTATACTACCTGAGCCTTCCTGTTATGATGAATCCCGCAAATATGACTGTTGGAAGCAAGCTATGTCAGCCGAACTAGCTGCACTTGAGCACACCTATACCTAGACATTGACTGACTTACCATCGAGAAAGACTCTCATTGGGTCTACAAAGTCAAGTTTAAGCCTAATGGAACTGCTAAGCGTTACAAAGCCCGATTGGTAGAAAAAGGCTACACTCAAACTGAAGGCATTGATTATACAGAGACATATGCCCCAGTTGCTAAGCTCGTAACAATGCGTTGCCTCTTAGCTCTGGCTGCAACCTGAAATTGGGAACTACATCAGATGGATGTGGACAATGTGTTCCTCCATGGAACTCTCCATGAAGCAATTTGCATGGTTCCTCCACTTGGACTTTTGCCTCCTAAGGATTAGCGTATATGTCGCTTGAACAGATCCATTTATGGCTTCAAGCAAGCCTCATGCAATTGGTTTGAAACTCTAGCTCATGCTCTTCACCAACGGGGTTTCAAGCAATCAGTTGTTGATAATTCCCTTTTTACTTCAATACAATCAGGCAGCATTCTTCTTGTACTTGCATATGTTGATGACTTGGTGATTGTCGGAATTGACCCAGCTCGCATTTCTGCTCTCAAGGACTACCTGTGACAGTGCTTTCCAATTAAGGACCTCGGAGTCCTTCGATATTTTCTTGGACTTGAGATCTCTCGGTCTTCTTTCGGCATTTTTCTCAATTAACAGAAATATACCCTTGACATCCTTAAGGATGTAGGCATGCTAGGTTCCAACCCAATACGTTTCCCATTGCGCAACAACACCATTTGGGACCTGAATCTGGCTTGCCAATTGCTCAACCTGATCAGTGCAGACAACTTGTGGGTCGTCTTCTCTATCTCACTATCACGATACCAGAACTCACGTATTCAGTTCATATTCTAAATCAGTTTATGAGTGATCCTAGATAACAACATTTAGATGTTGCAATGCATGTAATTTGATACTTAAAGGCTACACCTGAGCAAGGAGTATTTCTTCCGGCTGATTGTGATCTCCAATTGCGAGCTTATTGTGACTCGGGTTGGGCTGGTTCCCAACTACTCGGAAATCCGTCATCGACTATCTCACAACTCTAGAACACTCTCCTTTGTCATGGAAGAGTAAGAAGCAAGCAACAATGGCACGCTCTTCTGTTTAAGCCGAGTATCATGCAATGGCAGTTGCCACCAGTGATCTGTTGTGGCTGAAACAACTCTTCTCTAATCTTGGTCTCTCTCATCCACAACCCATGAAGTTATACCGTGACAATAAGGCAACACTCTACATAGCTACTAATCCAGTGTTTCATGAGCGTACCAAACATATTAAAATAGATTCCCACTTCATACGAGAGCACCTTCAGTCTAAAGCTATAACTACTGCTCATCTTCTTACATCAGCTCAGCCTGCAGATATTTTTACCAAAGCTGTTGGATGAGATAGGTTTGCTTCTTTATTACCCAAGTTGGGCATTTTTAATCCTCATGTTCCAACTTGAAAGGGGGTATTAGGAGAATACCGGTTGAAGCATGTTGCGATGAGTTTTACACTTGCGATGAAGTTTGTTATGAGTCTGTTTTGGTAAATGCCACATCATCTTCCTTGGCTCCTTGTAATAAATGTCTATATATTTGATAAGTTTAATGAAGGAGATACAATTTTTCTTCGCCATTTTGTCCTGTTACCAATTTTACAAAGATAGAATGAATTATGAAGATTTTTTAAATTTTCAGACAAGAAATGAAAAAGAAAAAGAGTTCGTTATTTCCTTCCACGATTACAAAGGTATTTATAGATATACAATCGACTTAAGACAGCTTGCATGTGCAAGTTGAGAGATGTATGTGTAACTGAATTTACAGCTCTGTAACAAACTAAATTACACATGGACAATAATTCTGAGAATTTTGTTGGCAAAACTGGCATGGTGTTGCATCATCCATGAACAGTATTGTCAAAGCGAAATCAAACTGTGAAGTAGTAAGATAGATTTGAGTTTATTAGTAATTTTTATTGTTTGGAAATTTTGTGTTACTAAGTTATTGAACATGCATAGCTCCAACATGGAATATGATTACATAAAGTTCATGCTGCATTTATTTCCAGGGTACTGGCTTGGACTTTGTATGTTACAGATATATTTTAGCCCATTCAGTAAGGGTGTTGGTTTTCAGTCATTCTAGATCTAAATGTGTTTTATAAAGCATATTAGGTTTATGTCTTGAGTCTTGCCTTGAGGTTCATGCTTGTGAGTATTAGGCATATTCCTAACAACTTGGGATGCCTTAATGTATATGTATGTATGTGCATGTGTACATGCTTCAATGTATTAAAACTGTTTAAGCTATTATTTTACATTTAAATATTAGCTTTTAAAGTTTTCCTGTAGTTTTTAAATGGTTTCTAAGATATATCCTTATGGTCCATGTTTAGGTAACTATATGTTCATTTGTATATGATCCTTCTCTATAAACATGAACTGCTCTTGTGCATATTTCAATGCTTTTCCTTATTTAGTAACATGTTTCTCTTAAAAAGTGGTAACTCATGAAGATTAAGCACTGTTCCTCCATGCTTACATCTCATGCATCTATATGTCGTGGTGCCTCACCTCACGTCTCCAAGTTTTTAATCCCATCCTACATGACTTCCTTTATGCAAGGTGTATGATCATCACGGGTAGGTCCCATGCAATTGCTTGATGTTCTTAATTGTTTGCATTGTTGATCATCTATTTGGTTTGTTTCCTGGATCTATGGATTATGTTAGTTGTCTCTTCATGTGTATTATTAGCTTCTTTTGAAATGGCATGACATCCACTATTAAATTCGTTAATAAAATAATCCATTTTGGAGGATTTGATGTCACCCTTGAAAGAACTAGTTGAGTAATTCAATGCTGACAAGAATCTCATTATGTGGTGAAGTTTAAAGTTTTAAAACCCACCTCTTCCTCATGATGTGGCTAGACTAAACTCTTCACAACTAGGTAATCCTCTAGAGTGGCCATGTGCTCAAGACTAGGGCTGCAATCGAACCGAGCTCTAATCAAATAGTTTGGGCTTGAGTTCGATTAGGGTCGATTTGAGTTTGATTCTAATCAAGTTTGAATCTCGAGGTAAGCTTGATTAGTTGTTCAAACTCAAGCTTGTCCAATAAAAGTTCAGCTTGAAAACTTGCAAGCCTAGCTCAATTAACATAAAGGTTTATCCATGTTGAACTGGTTTACATTGTATATTCTTTGGTCTAAATGGTTTCTGAAAGTGAGGTAACTGCTTAATCATGTTGTTTCTGCTCAGGATGGATTTTCTGAAATGGAAGAATTTAATGCTGATCCATGGAGCTTTCAGTCAGTGAAAAAACCCAGTTCAAAACAAGGTATGCTACACCACCCATTATTCTGTTAAAAATTGCGAATAAATAGAATCAAATCCTTCTATGTTGTGTCAATGAGGAAAGCTTAATTAGGAAAAGAAATACAAAAAAGAACTCCTCAACCTGAATGGGAACTTAATGAAAGAAGATTAGGACTAAAACATCAATTTTTCTAAAAATGTCTTTAGTCTGTATTGACCCCATTCTTAGAAAGCAACTCTTCCAAGCAAGTCATCATTCTAGAGATCCAAGAGAGCTAAATATTCAACCTTGATCCCAAGTTAAGTGTCCCCCTAGGCATTATCTTCTGATATCCAACAAACATGCTTAGTTTTAATAACCACCTAAGCATGTTCTAGAGCCAGCGGCGCTTCAGCTTTAGAAGAGTTTCCATCTTCTGAAATGCCCAAGAAGGCTTGTAATTGACACTGTTGCCACCTCCACTGTGCCTCCACTACCAAAGCACCCCCAGATTGACCTTTGAACACCCATCAAGATCTAGTTTGATAAAATTAAATTTTCTTTTGATCTTTCAGGCAGTTGCCTACCTTCAAAGGGGTCGGAGGAAATATCATCAAAAACTGGGCAGAATCTGAATGTTACAGGCAGCCAATTGGATGTGAAAAATGGCAAGAATACTGAAGAAAAGAGAAAACAAAGAGATTCTTATTACAGATTGCAGGAAATGGGTTCTGAAGATACAACTGGTCGAGAAAAGGTATTGTCTGTTGATTATTATCTGGGATATTAGAGACAGCATTGAAGTGTTTCACATTATTTTTGTTGATTGCAGCTAAAGACTGGGAAATCCACAGAGAGTATGCTTCACCAATTGTCAGAAGAATTAGATTTGGATGAAAAATGTTTTCCACTTGTTGATTACCTGAGCACATTCGGACTTAAGGAATCACATTTCATCCAAATCTATGAGAGACACATGCCTTCCCTTCAGATAAATGTGGCTTCTGCACAAGAAAGGTTGGAGTTTCTGTTGAGTGTCGGTGTCAAACATAGAGACATCAAACGGATACTTCTGAGGCAGCCACAGATTCTAGGGTATAGAGTAGAAAACAATCTGAAGTCCCATGTTGCATTTTTGGAGGGTTTGGGTGTTCCTGACTCCAGAATAGGACAAATAATTACTGCTGCTCCCTCCCTGTTTTCGTACAGTGTTGAGCACTCCCTAAAACCCACAGTCAGGTATTTGGTTGAAGAGGTTGGTATCAAAAGAAAGGATTTGAGTAAAGTTGTGCAGCTGAGCCCTCAAATTCTGGTTCAGCGAATTGACAACTCATGGAATTCCCGCTTTGGCTTTCTTTCAAAGGAACTGGGAGCACCCAAGGATTGCATAGTTAAGATGGTCACAAAACATCCCCAGCTTCTTCATTACAGCATTGAAGATGGAATACTTCCAAGGATCAATTTCCTTAGGAGTATAGGGATGTGCGATTCTGACATCTTAAAAGTAATAACAAGTCTTACACAGGTAATTGTTTTCATCTTCTCATAGTGATTGATATCCCTCTAAAAAATAAAATGTTTGAAATCCAGCATTCAAATTTTTGGCTTTACAGAGTGGGCAAGCCTGTACATAGACATCATATCTGTTCCAATGTCCTGTCCAGCCATGTCTTTGCTCTATTTGTGTATCATATGTTGTAACACCTCTACCCCCCTACGTGCACACTTGTACAATCAGGACAAAGGGTACATCCTTAGGAGAAAAACAACATTAAAAAAAAAAAAAAAAACCTTGGTCTATAACTACAAGAATCAATACAGCAGGGTGTTTATTTCCTTTAAACCTGCATTTTCAGTAACGATTAGTAACCCCCCCCACAAAAAGAAAAAGAATCCCTACTAGTGTTTTTAAATATTATAGTGACCACTTTGGAGGCTCCTAATCATATATTTTAAGATTTTCAAAATATGATAACTCTCAAAGAAACCATTCAATCTAAAAGCTTAAGCTGTTAGGTGAGGTCCTTGAATAGGTTCATATTCTCTAACACGCCCCCTCACATGAAAGCCCATTGGGCTTGAAGTGTGAACAAGCACAGGCCCACCCATACCTTGTGCTGAAACTTAATTAATTATAATGGGGGTACTGAGGGTCGAACACTAGACCACTTGGTCAAAGTGGCTCTGATACCATCTCAAAGAAACCATTCAACCTAAAAGCTTAAGCTGTTAGGTGAGGTCCTTGAATAGGTTCATATTCTCTAACAATAACAAAAATTGATTTCTTGCAACCAAAGATCTTGCAAGTGATTGGTTCTTTTGCTCTTGCAAAAATCCTATGGCAATATTGATGTAGCATAGGAGGAGAAAAGCCTTATATGATAAAGAAGAATAGATATTGTTGAAATCTGTTAGTTAGTTAGTCTCCTTAATTTAATTCCTTGTTATATTTCTGTTCTTTAGTGCCACAGGGGGCATTCTTGTAATTTTACTTTCTTTTATTATTAGTTGGGATGCCCTAATATAAATGCTAATGACTGGCGCCGCCAGTCACAACTTTTGATCCCAGAATTCTCTTCTTCTCTTCCTTTCTTCTCCCTTTCTATTCCTGTTTCTTTATATGTCTAACCCAGAAAACATGGTATCAGAGCAGGTTTTCTGGGGTTAGAAGCAGTGCGACAAAGTCCTCTCAGTTTCTTCTTCCTCAATCTCTCAATTCCTCCTCCACTGTGGATCGAATCTGATTAGGCAGTAGGTTGAACTGATCTGAAGGGCTTTCTTTTAGGTTCTCTTCTCTTCTTTCCTGGTCGTGTGCCAAGAAATCCCTAAAAGAAGGGAACTCTGATGATGTGAAGGCAAGACTTCTTAATCCTGTGGTCCTTTCTTGTACCCAGGTAAGTGGGTTTTAGAGGTCTGGATGACCTGCAACCACTGTGGTGTTTTTTTTTAGAACTGTGGATCGGGTGATCCTGTTTCTGGGGTAGAATTGTAAAACAGGCCTTTTGGGGTCAGCACCTATTTCTGGGGTTGACAGTTGTACTCGATACATCCTAATTTTCTTAATGAAGTTACTGTTTCCAATCAAAAAAATATCTCTATTGCAGTACCCTGCCCACTGACCAGGTCACTCATGACCTACAAAGGTTCCACATGCACACAGTTCTGGATCTTCAGACCCACAAAGAGGGTTTAAACTCCCCTTATACCATTTGGTCAAGACAGACCTTAACCTGTTCTTGGTAGCAATACCAAGAACCAAGAAAAAAAGGCTTATCTTCTGTCTTCGTTTAGTCTGAGAGGTTTCTGGCATAATTGTCAAGCCGATGCCTAGGCGACGAGGCACCCTTTGAGTCTCACCTCACCTAATCGCCTAGCAGTTTTGTACTATGTATTATAAAATACTTTTTTATTCTTTATTTTTTGACATTATAATTATAAAATAGGCACTATTAAACTAAAATATTCATTGTGTTTATATACTAATTTCTTTTTATTATTTTCTTATTTGTTAGGGTTTAATCAATACAAACATTGCTAAATGCTGTTTTGAACCCTCAAAGACTTTAAAACCTGAACCAATAAGGAAGAACTTAAAATTTTGTCTAATCAACACATTTTCTACTACTTCTTTTCTTCTTCCTATAACAAAAATAAGGGTTCAGCCCTTATATTTTTTGAATGTTCTTTTCCTTCTTTTTCTTCTTCTCATTAATATGTTGATTTTCTATACTTTAACATGAACTCTATACTTTTCTTATGAAAATTATGAATAATTATTAAGGAAATATGGTTATGGTACCTAGGGAACTACCCTAGGATCTATGTTTTCTACATAAAAAAATCCATTGCCTAGGTGACTAGGCTCCTCCCTGTTGCCTTGGCGCCTTGAAAACTATGGTTTCTGGAGGTTCCAATCCAAGAAAATAATAAGAAACGAGGAAAAATTAATCACCGGACTCTTAGGAAGCTTCAATCAATCATCTGCTAACTTTTGGAATCTATTTTGTTGAGTTTCGATCAAGAAATAGAAGAAGTGACAGCCGAAGTGTTCTCAGGGTTAGGTCAAACTAGCATCCTCCATTCTCAGTCCAAAGGAACAGATAGAAGAGCTTTCGATCAAGAGAGAAGAGAGAGGAGGGAGAAGAAGAGGAAAAAGATGTTAGAGAGCCAAAAAGATAGGCTGGCAGCGCCAGACTTTATATTTATAGTGTAGGCCGACTGTACTAAATAAAAAAGAAGAAAAAGACTAAAGTGCCCCTTGCGGCACAGTTCTCTACAAATATAAGAGAGAAACATAGTGAGAAAATATTGAACCTTGAAAAGAGAGGGAAGAGAGGGGGGTGGAGGAAGACACACTCTTTCCTGTAGGTAACTTCGAAACAAACTTTTATTCCACTATTTATGCTTTATTCCTGATAGACTTGCTATAGGGGTATGATCTCCCTTTACAGGCTCTAATTTTGAGTAGAAGATTGATCAAACAACACCACCTAATAGCTTCAAAACTAAGAAAAACCATAGACATCCTATATAGGAGTATAGGACACTCAAATATGTACTTAAAACAACTCTAACAATCCCACTAAAACTATATAAACCAACAGCAACTCCAAAATAGACCTCAAATGTAGAAATACTCAGTTGCAGTTATAGATCAAAAATCTACTTCCCATTTATTAATCCCCTGCCCCTCTGTCTCTAGAATTTGTGAGTTTTTACTTTCAGTTTTCTCCATGTAGATACAGGTATACTCCTAGGGATATGGTTAGCATATTTTCTAACACTTTCAAAGAAGAGAGGGAACATTATATAGAGATGCACAAGGGCAGTAGTCATATGGCTGGTTTTGGAGGAGAAATGATAGAATACTTGAGGAAGCAATCTGCAAGGAAGTGGTAATTGAGAATATCTCAGTAAAGGTTATCATTTTTTTTATTGTAAACGGTAGCTTTCGTTAAGGATATCAAATAAACATCTTACACTGTCAACCACTCAGACAAAGAGTATTGACCCCAAACAACTTCAAGAATTACAGTACAGCCCAAAAAATGTTTTCCCTGAATGTCCCCTGCTTTGCCAAGCTATCTGCCACAGAGTTGGCTGACCTCCTTACCCATTTGTAAATTACTCCAGCTTCCCTTGCCAAGCAGATTATTTCCCTTATTTGCTGTCTAAAATTCCATATACCCAACCTCTTTGTTTGCAGCCACCTTATTAACAGTTTAGAATCCCCATTGCTTGGCAAAGCAGGGGACCATAGTTTCCCACCCCTATTAACAGTTTATCCAATGAGCACTTTCATCTACTTCTAGTAGATGAAGGCAGATGAAGGTGCTCATTGTATAAAAACCTTAAGCCTCTTTAGCTGTTTCTCTACATATGACATCCTTAGGAGATGGCAATATGTTGTATCATCTTCATCTACTAGAAGTAGCCATCACTTGGTCTCCTCCAACATTGGACCTTATAAGATTAAATTTTGATGTATGTAGTTTGGGTAACTTAGGCGGTTCAACATCGGTAGGGGTGGTTATGAATGATCATGATAATATAACGGCTATCATCTTGGGACCTATTGGCCGAGGAAATTCAGTTAGATCTGAACTGTTAGCAGTTTTCAAGGGTTGAATTGGGGAATTCCCTAAATTGCAGAGGTATTGCAGTGGAAGGGAACTTGTGGTAGTACTTGATTGGCTTAAAAATTCAATCTAGGAACATGGCAGTATAGACACATTTTAAGAGAGGCCAGACATTTTGGTTAGGAAGCTAGGGAACCATGGATATCTTTCACATGGACTTACAGATCAGCAAAGAGCATAATAGATGCATTGACCAGGCAGGGGTGAGCAGAAATAGTTGTATTGTGGAGTTATTAATCTTCTTTTTGATCAATAACTCAGAAAGAATTTTATTAAAATTATAAGAAAACAGAACAATGAGAAGTTGTGAAGAACAAGTAGACTCAAAGAGTCTAACCCCCCCCTCCCCCCCAATATTACAACTGAACCCAAAACATAGACTGTGTCTGAACCCTTTGCTTAGCTAGACCATTTGCCAAACTGTTGGCAGATCTTCTAACCGATTAACTTAAATGAACATGTCCTTAGAAAGCCATTTGAACCATTTGAGATCATTCCTTAGATGCAAAGACACACTCTTTCCCCCTTCTTTAGCCAGTCCACCACTATTTTGGAATCACATTTGATAATTAACCTTTCAAAACCCAATTCTTTGGCTTCCTCAGCCCCAAAAACTGCTGCCAAGAATTCTGCTGTGGCAATGTCACCTTGCTCAATTGGGCCTGAGAAAAATGCATGTATGTTTCCTTCCTAATCCCTGATTACCCCTCCGATTCCGGAGGGGCCCGGGTTGCCCACACAACTCCCATCAAAGTTCGGCTTCAGCCAGACACTAGATGGAGGTGACCAGTCCACTGTTACCAGCTGTCTTCTAGAAGATGAGTCAGCTATAGCCCCCCAAGATAAAAAAAAATCACCAACCTTAAAATCTGAGAAGAGATTAAAGGTCTTGACCCAGATTGTGGAGTTCTTAATATTGAGAACATGAGTACATTGTAAATTATTGGAATTTTGTGTTAGGATGCAACTGGCCTAAACCTTCAGGAGAACTAGGCACATATTTCACTTTGCACTTAATCCTTTTTCTTCACATAGAAAAATACATGGTCACTATCAAAATGGTGGGAAGTTTCCTGATTCATATTAGATTCATGAAATCTTGGTCTCATTTGGTGGGTAACTGAAAATTTTACTTAACTGCACCAAAATCAAGTCAAGTGGATAAGTTTTTGACTTCTTAGACTTGGGTAGCAAGAAAAGTGTTGAACTTTATATATTCAACTTTCCAAGTGGATAAGTTTGAGCAGGATGGGAAAAATGGATAGGTGCATCTGAAGTTTTATGTGATATGCAAATAGCACTTAGATTAAAAGGAATGTTCTATAAAGTAGTTGCAAGTCCAGGTATGCTCTATGGAATGGTGTGTTGGACAGTAAAGAACAAGGTGTCCAAAAAAACTGAGTGTGGCAGAAATGTGTATGCTGAGATGGATGAGTGAAAAAACTAGAAAGGATTAGATGAGAAATGAAATCATTCAAAAGACCCTAGGAGATAAGTGCTAAAGTGAAAGAAAGTAGATTAAGATGGTTTGGTCACATGCATAGAAAACCATCAACAGCACCCATAAGAAGTGATTAGTTGCAAGTTGAAGGGGTTAGACGGGCTAGGGGTAGACCAAAAAGGACATCGAAGTAGTAAGAAATGATTTATGTGCCAATAGTTTAACAATGGATATAGCATTAAACAGAATGGAATGGTGAAAGAAGATTCATGTAGCCAACCCATATAGTTGAGATAAGACTTGGGTGATGATCAGAACTCTCTAAATTTGATTCATTAAAACAATTAACCTTATTCCTATGACATCAAAAAACTAGAAAATAACTTCCAGTGAAACTCATTGACTGAATATGTGATCACCCAAATTTACAAAATTGCAATCAGCACAGGAATCTATAGAAACTCAATTTCTTCCATGGTTTCTTTTACTTTTTCCATGTTTTCATCAAATATCAGTAGTATAATTGAATCCGATCATAGTCAAGGAATGAACAGAAGAAGATTCTTAATTCTATAATGAATTTTTGAGTTTCTTCCTGTACATTTTCCCTGTAAATGTAATGAAATCTAAGAGTAAATATCTCAACTATTTTCACAGGTATTATCTTTATCACTAGAGGAGAATCTGAAGCCCAAGTATTTGTACTTGGTGAATGAACTTCAGAATGAGGTGCAGTCCTTGACTAAATATCCTATGTACTTAAGCTTGTCTTTAGATCAGAGAATTCGGCCTCGGCATAGATTCTTGGTTTCCCTGAAAAAGGCGCCAAAGGGACCATTTCCTCTAAGTTCATTGGTTCCAACAGATGAATGCTTTTGTCAACAGTGGGCTGGAACTAGTTTAGACAGGTATTTGGCATTCAGGCAGAGTTTGCTACTCAAGGAGTTTGCAAAGAAGTATGAAAGAAAAAGGTAGCCATTATAGTTCCTTCCAATTAAGTATTAGGTGTCCTAACTCGAGGGTTTGAATAGTGGAGGATCTCAGTCAATTTACTCAACATATGTGGTTATTCTTCAAAGCCTGTCGACTGCATCACAAAACATAGGTTTGTATCTTTATTATGTATTATATATTATGTAGTTCCTGGCTTGTTAACATGTTTCTTACATATTGTCAGCACTATAATTTGTGCAGATTTCCGGTCTGTATCTCAATCAATTTGTGCATGTAGAAGTGGGTTATCTTTCAGTACCTAATTGGTGGTGGTTGGAGATTCCAGGTGTCAGATTGCCAGTTTAAGAGTACGAGGTTGGCTCCTAAATTATTGATCATTCAAGTAGAGATGAACACAAATGAATTTAATAGGGAGAAAATCAACAGATCTAAAAAGAGAGCCAATTTGGCTTGCTAGTCGCATACACTCAGGGGATTGGACCCCATTTGGTGGGCACCATGTGCCCCTTCTTTCAAAAGCATACTGAACCAGGTGATTACATAAACTTGTACGTGCACCACACATGCCTCTGCCATTGTAAGCCTGCCTTTATTGTCTGCCAAGTGATTTACCTCATATTTTCCAAGAGCCATTGCACAATGATAGTTTTGGCTATTTGGGTTTGGAAGGGGATGGGGATAGACTTAGGGTGCAAGTTGGGTTGCCTGAGTTGAAGGATTTCAATTACTTTGGGTTTGGGTTTGGGCTCTATCCCAAGTTGCACCCCCTTGGGTAGACTGGATGCAGACCTGACTTTGGCATTTTCTCTCTTTTTCTTTTTCTTTTCTTTGTTTTTTTCCACAAAATGGCCACTCTCAGGTTCAAGCCCATGTTCTCAGTTTGTTAGCCCAAGGTTTTACCTTTGTACCAAATAATGGTCCCTTACCTTTATATTCTTTAAACATGCCATTTTATTTGCAAGTAGTGAGATAGTGAAATGCATGTAGATCTATAACTGCTCCTGATGATGTATTTGTGAATTGTGTTCAATTTCTTTATGACTTGTTAGGCTTTGTAATATAACTACCTTCATGTGTACAGGTTGTGTTCTAATTGCAATCACTTGGGATTTCATCTTTAAAAGGTTTGAAGTAGCAACTTGTGCTTTGCAAATTATCTTGGCTAAGAATACTTGTACTACTATTTATCAATTTAATTCATACTATATATTCTGTTACATAAATGTGACTTAGGCCACCTTAGAATCATAAATGAGAGGAGAGTGACTTGTTTTGATTGTTTTTGTTACACACAAGTCCAATGGAATTATTTCATATTTGTTTCATTTGATTAGGTGTTGTGTTCTATTAACGGGTTACACATCAGATACGCAATGATCATTAAACTCTCTCTCTCTCTCTCTCTCTCTCTGGCCCATATTATAATGGCTTTCTTATTGTAATTGAAGCACTGACTTTGAATCAAAGATTACTAAAAAAGTAAAAAGGCCATTACCCAATGTTGGTCCCAGCTATTTAGGGTCTTGGGAGGGGTAGACTGTTTATGATCCCTAACCTTAGACAATTTTTCACACAAAGTGGCTGCTTTCAAACTTGAACCAGTGTTCTCATGCTTGCCAGCTTGAGGTTTTACCATTACACCAAGTAATGACCCTTTGAATCAAACAAGGTTCAAAGTATCAATATGCTCAAGCATGAAAACACTTCAACTCACCTGTTTTCTTTCAACTTCTTTAATCTGAAAGCTTTTAAAGTTAATTATTAACATGATTATAAACACTTGAAGTTGTTGATTTGACCCAGTTCTATATATCGATGACCCTGAAAGTGATATGTATTGTACGATATGCAAAGATACGTTGGATATTTTGAGGCTTGAAATTGAAGATCTGTTATCAAGAAATTCCTTAAATTGTGAAATTATCTTTGAATAGAAAGAAACGGTTGGTCTTGATTATATACAGATTTTGGTGGTGATTAGTCGCAAATGAAAAAGGAAATTGCATATTATTGATCTCAGGTGAACGGATAGATGGGATCTGCTACCCATTACTTGTTCCCACATCTCTCTATGAATTTATGAATGAAAAGGGAGATATTCCCAATGCGCGGCTGTTATGTCCCGTGGGTGGGATGTGGGAACAAGTAGTGGGCAGTAGCAGATCCGTATAAAGGGCCGTTCAGCCCTTGTCAGTTCAGTTGTATGTAACTATGTATAAACAAAACAATAGTAAGATACCGAGTTGATATAGACCTGGTAATGAACAAATTGACAATCCATGTGATTATCTGACGGATGGTCTTGGTTGGCCCCACGATTTGAGTCACGATTAAAAGGGTCTTACCGTGAGTAAAGGAAAGGCATGCGTGCAAGAGTTGTAAGACCAGACATGTCGGATGGAGCAAAGCATTGGGTATGAGACAAAATATCCAAAAAAAATGTGTTGGAGAAATGGAAATATTGAGATATGTGGGTGAGTTAAGATGCTTAGAAATGGCAAGGTCATAAGTGAACCCATTTGAAGGAACCGAGGTGTATCTCTAATAGGTGGTATAATGAGAGAAAACAGAATAAGTTGGTATGATCAAGTTTAAAATATCGATACACCTGATATGCCAGTAGGGGAGTATCAGACAATATCGATAGTATTTTTTTACTTTTTTTTATTTTTTTTCAAAATTAATTTAGGGGGGCCAGTTTAAGATTCCTCCAACCCCTGAACCGGTCAGAACCCTGATACACCCCTTGTAGGGGCGTATCAGGAAGCCACCGTCATGATACATATCGGTCAATACGTATCGATACTTTGAACCTTGGGTATGATGCATAGAAAACCATTTATAACATCCATAAGAACAAGTGATCTGTCACAAGTTGAAGGGATTAGGAGAGAGATAGAGCAAACCAAAAAGTACATGGGTTAAGGTAATAAAAATTGATTTTAAGGTCTCATAATTTAACAATGGAATATTAAACAGAATAGAATGGGGAAATAGGATTCTCCTAGCCAACCCCATATAATTGAAACAAAGCTTAGTGTGGCAAGTAAGAAGGGACGTAACTAAATCAAAATCTGAACAAATCCCAATAATGATCCATCCATCCATCCATCCATTATGTTGGTTTACCAGTGAAGTGAGTGTAAGGGTGTCAATGGACCGGTTTCGGATTGAACCCCATCTAGTCCAAAATCAATTTGGATGGATTAGACAGACCAACAAGACATATTGGATTGGACCAATCCGGTCCAAAATATTTATTATATTGGATTAGACATGGTCCATCAGTAATAAATTTATATTGGATTGGGTTGGATTAAGCCAATATCTAGTCCATTGATATAAGATAAGAATATAGGTGTCAATGGACCGGGTTTAGATTGAAAGCAATCTAAATCAAAACGGATTTAAACAGATTAGATGGTCCAGACATTGAGTTAAACCGGTCCAAAATGGACCAAAATATTTATTGGATTGGGTTGGACTCGGTCCATTTATAATAGACTCACATTGGTCTGGATCTGATTGGACCAAATCCAGTCCAATTGACACTCCTAAGTGAGCGATTCTAATGGGTTGGGGTAGATTTGTCTCTTTATCATCTTTTTTAACTGTAATTTGGGTTCCACAAATGAGAAGTTAGGAAATTTTGACATTGGATGATCAACTTGTAGAAATTCTAGAGCAAAGAGAACTAAAAGACACTAAACATGCTGAAATTAAATATTCATCACAGTTGAAAATTGAAACTAATGCTCCGTTCGCTTTTCGGTAAGCCACTTACTTGGGTAAGTGTTTCCCAAGAAAAACTTACCCGAGTAAGTGCATTTTCCCATATTCTTTTATTTTTCATGTTCTTTTATTTCCCATGTAAATAAGGTAATGAGCATCTTAGCCATAAAAATTCTATATTAAAAGGGGCATTTTTGTCCCATCCAAGTATTGGCAACTTTCCCCTATATGGGAAAGTTAATTTACCCACCTAGGAATCCGAGGAAAATAAACTTTCATGGGTCCCCACATAAATCTGAAAAATGAACATGGGTTTCTTAGTCAATAGGAACCAAAATCCCATTGATTGACTAACTTTCCCCCCTATCAAAATCTAAAAAAAAAAAAAAAAAAAACAGCTAACTAAATGGAATTACAAATCTTAGTTCAGAACAACTAGAACAAATAATTAAATATAAAACTGACGATAATTGACAAAACAAATAAAAGATAATTGCAATAGGTTTGTTTTGTTGACGATGGTGTAACACTTCGTGTTGCTTCCCTTCCTCCTAAAGACTCGAATGATTGAGATCAAAATCTTTGCTCAATCTGTTGAGAAAAGCTCGACAATCGTTAAGAATCCAATGACTTTGTTGTTGATTAGGCCTCTTTGCTGCACTTAAATCTTCCGATCCCTATAATGGATCATTTGATTAATACTCCTTCCAGGCATAGTCGGAGTTCATGACTTCAATTTTGGCCCTGGGACCAACAAAATACCCAGAAGTTCTCAATTTTGCTACATCTATGTCCTCTGAAATAATTGAGATCTTGTAGAACAAAGAAACAGATGTGAATCACGTAGTCATTTGTGCAACCCTTTTTATGCTCAAGGCCTTGTATTGTTTGAAAAGAAAGTTTGGACTCTTGTGTGACATGATTGGAATAAACTACAGTATGTCTCTCAGTCCTGACATGACCATTATTTATGTCATCGTCGATTATAACAATTATCATTATACAACGGTGTTGGGGTTTTAATCATGCTTTTTTTTTATATATATACAACCAAATACCCCACGGTTGGTAAATTCTAGTGGGAACGCAATCAAAAAATAGTTCTAAACTCAAATCGGTTGTTGTCATGTCATCTTTCGCTCGCTCTGGTTCCCTCAACAAGTCACCACTCACCAGCAGCTGAACTAGATTTCTGATTAAAAAAAGGACTGTGTTTGATATATACGAGCTTCTGCTCTCTCTCTACGCCACTAAAGTCCATGGGAGCATTGTAGAGTGAAGGTGCTCTCGTCGTTATAGCACTGATGAGTGATGAGTAGCATGAGGTGTCGTCCATTTACTTACCACCTTTCCCATTTAGAAAGAATCCGGGCCCACCATGATACCCATCAAATAGAAATCGCCTAAAAGATCAATCAGAAGTTTTGATCAATCCTATTAGTGATTACTGAAGTACTTTTTGGAATTTATATCTTACCAACCATCAGATACAGTCCGACTTCTTGAATCAAATATCTGCAACTCTGATAACTTGATCGTCCTCTAGTGTGGGGGTCCCAATAGAATGTCCGCCCCTTCTCGTATTTAACCATAATGAACTCTCAGTATTAGTAGTTGTGAGTAAAGAACAGAGAGAGAGAGAAGAGAACAGCGATTTTACTTGGACCAAGATCATTGTAGATAATATATGGTCCCACAAATGCATAATGTGGATGAGTAATGCTTTGATTTGCTTTTAGGAAAAATAGAGATGGGATATATTATATTTTATTATAAATATACCTAATGTAGACCTGTACATAGTGGGGGCCACTGTGATGTATAAGAAGATATTAAGAATCATGGTTGGGGGATAATATAATTTAGAGCATACATAAACTTTCTAAATTCTTGTTTATGTGCACAATGAATTAAAATTCAAAAGACTTAGATAAAGAACTAGAAGATTTTTTACATTTTAATTTTTTTGGTAGACAGGAACATCATCATAATCATCTAAACCTCTTACTCAGATTTTAAACTCTGCAAAATCACCAAATTAAAGTTGGATTACTGATGTGGAAAATGCCTGCTAATCACCATAACAAATGAAATATCTCTTTCAATATAAAAATAACAGGATCACCTGTTACTTTATTCGTGGCCCCCTCCAAGTAGTAGGTGTAGCTTAAATTTTCAACTAGATAGAAGCTAACCAAACAACAAGACAAATTGGGCAAATTAGACCTATACATCATGTCATTTCTATTGTGTGTCTTTTGTAGTTGACCTCCGGATAAGACTGCAATTAAAATGCTATCCGTTTATCCAAATTCGAATTTGGGTCGGATCAACTATGAATCCACCCCCATTTGTTCCGATAAAATCCAATTTGATTTGTTGTTGTATATGTATATACTTAAATTTTATGTTTAAAAAAAAAAACTGACTAAGCTTCATTTATATAGAGACGATTACATGAGATGAGTTTGTCGGTCTGTACCGTAAACTAAGCTGACCCTTACATGATAAATAAGCAAAAAGATGGTCCACTTGATTGTATTGTCTGCTAATAATACGTACAAAACATATAGAAGAAGCAAAAGAGGAAGTGAGCCATTTAAATGTTGTACTATTTTTACTAAATTGTCATGTAATCAAGTTCTATGCTGTTATTTTCAACTCATTTTCTTTCTTAGGGGATGTTCTTTTTCTGAATTTTGAAAGGGGGGAAAGTTGGTCAAAAGGATTTTGATTTCTATTGACCAAAGATCTCATGTTCTTTTTTCAGATTTACCTAAGGAACAGGGAAAATTTATTTTCCAGAGTATCCCTTACCCCTAGGTGGGTAAAATTGGTATTGCCAACACTTGAAAGGGACAAAAATGTCCCTTGCAATAATAGATTTTTATGGATAAAATGGAAATTGTCTTTATTTACATGAGTAAATGCAATTACTCGGATAAATGTTTCTAAAAACCAATTACCTGCATAAGTGCATTTATCCGGATAAATGCGAACGGACACTTAATGAAATACAATATCAAAGTCATTTAATGGTGTCCCCAGTTTTTTCTTACCGCTTTTGTCTTTCCTGCTTGGGTTAACAACTGCTGCAAATAAAACATGGACATACTTTCCCTTTGGTTTAAATTCACAGTATTGACTGATCTGCTTTGTTAGCTCTCCTTTGTGACTGGATTGAATTTTGAATCTTTCCCTTATACTTCCAAATTCTTATGAGTTGAAACAGAAAGACACTAAGGATTTCTGAGCTTTTATCCATTAAATCATTGTGAAAGTGTTTTGAGAGGAAAGCGGAAATTCTAATTACACACCCCAATGTCTTCGCCCGCTATCCAGTCCAGATAAGATCACCAAGGAAACCCTGGAAAAGCAACAGTTCTTCACGTACAAATCTCTTTAGTTTTTTACTCCCTCCCCAGTCCTCTCTCTCTCTCTCAAAGACCCACCAGTCAATTACAATTTTCATGTATAGGATCTACCATGCTTTCCAAGAACAAATGTCAAAGACCATTTATCAGAGAACATGAATATAAATGTATAAGAAGGAAAGAGCCTGTTCACCAAGCAATCCCTGGTGGGAGCCCCTCCACATGGCGCCACCTGTACCGCTTCACCGATCAAAGCTGTTCCCAGCTAACGCTAAGGAGAAGTCCCCATTTAGCTAGTATTCAAGGTCAAAAATTTGGCCAACAATTAATAATCGCACTAGCTAATAAGTCAATCGTGCTACTCAGAAAGAAGCAGAGAACAAGCGCTCAGTTTTAACTTAAAACAGATGTAATGAGCTCAAACCCATCTGCGGTGATATGTTCTGACAAACTCTGACTCTTCAATGCTGCCTGAAACTCCTATCAACCTTTGGGATTGGGAGAACAATTCGCATGGCAAAATCCTGTCTGCTGCTGCTGCTGTAAATTAAAATTTTAGCCTGGAGCTGGGGGCTGGGTTCCATTTATCTTCACTGAAAAACTTACTGGCAGATCAGATGTTATGCAAGCACTAACCCCACTTTACAAAAAAGCCTGTGGAATATCGAGGCTTGTTAAGGACAGAGAAGGTGAAAAGTGGAAACTCCAATTCACGGAGTCAAGTTGGGTACGAATAAAGGTATTAAAGGTACTGGTGGTGCTACTGGGCAACAGTATTTTGACAAATACTACGAATATCTTGTGAGATTAATTGTTTTCCCACGTACTCGGTACTACATTCACCTTCTTCTCTACTTCGATCAGTTCTCTTCTCCGTACTGAAAAGTTCTAGGTTATATAATGATCCATGTACAGTTTTCTTAAGCACAACTTTTGAGATACCTCAGTTTCCTTTGATGCCTGATTAGAGGCCACTTTCCGTTGGAAAAAAGAAAAAAACAAAATTGCAATTACGAGAGTGAGAGAGAGAGAGAAGTAATCCCTTGAAAAAATAACATTTTGGTTGAAACTTGAAACTTGAAAGTCATTTCATTGACAAAGGCAAACGTGTGGATATTCCTTTTGTTATAAACCCAGCTTGCTTGCTTCTTGTCCCGGAAAATGACTTCACGCTCTATGTTGATGCATGTGATGTTCCGCTGTGTTTTACCCAAAAAATAAAAAAATATAAAAAGAGTTCCGATGTGAAAAGGATACCACAACTTTTATCTTCTGCTGCATGTTGTTCTACGGTTCGAGCCTCCCCGTCCCCACACGGTGGTTTGATTGGTTGGGCATCGATCGGTGTCATCTTAAGAGATTGATTGTCACTATTAATTTCATTTCGGCCAAGAAAACTTTTGCAGTGGGAACCCCATCTCCATCTGGGTGACTTCCAGTACCTCTCTGCCCCTTAAAACTCGAAAGATCATTTGGAAATGGAGCCAAGAGAAAAGAAATAAATAGAAATAACGGGTTAAAGTTTGGATAATACAACAGTAACACCATGAATTTAAGTAAGCTCCATTCTTTTAATTTGTGGCCAAACCCTGAAACCCATTTGTTTGTTTTTTGTGGCCTGTATAGCAGCAGTTCGGAATTTGAAAAGTAATCTGTGATCCACGTTTAATTCTCGGCCAAACCTTGGCAGATGCGGTCACCACCTTCGCTAGTTGGCTATTCTATCAACAGGATCCTCCAATATCCCCAGTCCCCAGTGTGAGAGCTGAGCCTTGCACTGTCGCTGTCGTAATTCTTCATGACTTGTCGCCAAAATTGCTGCTTACGAGATGATCGACACCCATTACTGGTTACTACTTGAGATTACTTTTTTCTCTTGAGGACAATATCTCACTGATCTATTACGAGTATGAATACGTGATGATGTAATTGCTAACCATTGGCACAGAGATGAGAGAAAGTTTGGAAAATGATCAAATGTCAGAGCCAGAAAATAGCCTTCCTCCATCTCCCTAGATGCCTGTGACAGAGTATCAACTCTTTACTGCTGTGTTGACTGTTGACCTCCTCGATTGTGCAATCTCATCAATTCAAATTTCACTTCTCTAGGACTCTTAACAACAAGCTTAGCATTAGCATCGAAAGAAAATAAAGGACACCCGACCCGAGCCAGCTGGAGAAACAGAGCAGAACAGAAGTGCCGTAGCCTGCCTCTGCCATTCCAACAATCACCATCATCCTCGTTTAACATGAAAATAAAATCATCAGTGCCACTGTTCCCTTTCTTGCCGGCATTATTATGTTCTCAAAGTCAAGTCAATTTTTTTCTTGGGGTTTTTCTCTCCTATGTTTTCACTTTCTTATCCATCTCCCCACCATTCCTCCTGTTTGACTTTCAGCCAAGCCTCTTTATTACCCATTATGGACTATAGGTTGATTGACGATCACGGACCATGATTCATGGTGATACAACAAGCGTAGCCCATGTCTATCAGACTCAGAGTATCAATTCGTCAAATGTATTATACTTGTAATCATTGGAGCAATAAGCTGATGGGAAAAACCCAGCTCACTAAAAAATAATTGGATAATTGAAAGGTCGAATCCAACCCAATTGGAAATTGATGGGAAATTAGTCAAATTACACCAATCTATCTATATGGTCCATAATTACATCAGAGTCAGAGAGCCGAGAATCTGGTAATTTTGAGCACACGAGCACATGGGAATGGCGGCACGATCTGGTTACACCCCTCTGATCAGATACGGTACTGATCTTCAATAATCAGTTAACATCCAAAGAAGCTTTTATATAATGCACTTGTGATAAACAGTAAAAACTACCTTCCGTTTAAAGTAAAATTATTTCCATCTGTTTCTCAGTATTGCAGAGATTCTACACCTTTTTTTTCTCTGAACACTGCACTGTCATGTAATTTTTTTTCCTACCAATAGGGCAGACTATATTTTACATTCTCTTCTAAGACCCATATCTCTTGCTTGCTTTCTGTGATTACATTAAAAAAAAAAAAAGTGTAGAAACTTGTTACATGTAGCTTTCTATATCATTCTTCTTTGGAACCTGCTCCACCCCAAGTAACAGGAGGAGAAGCTTCAATATTTCTTCTTCAGTTTAGTATGAACTCACGATGAGCTTGATCTATCCATTGAGATAAGTTGACAAATAAACAAAGGAAAAAGGTGCTTTTGTATCCAGTCGAACCAATTAACTTTCGAATCCAGTAGTCTACCTCTATAATTCTTCTCTGTTTCTGAATTCTATATTACTGTAGAAATGCTGCTTGCTATTGGAGATGCAAATGGACTCTCCGGGAGATTAATCCCTTGGCTGTTGAAAAAATCAGAACAAGAAAAAAGTTCAGGAATTAGAAAAGCATGAAAGTTAAACGATTTGAAGCATCAATCGATATAAATATCACTGTTTAATCCTCTATTAATTCTATTAGGAAACATTATTTTTACTGTCATATTTAGTGCCATAAAAGTAAAATCTATGTTTCCTCTTGTTGCTTGTTTCTAGACCCCACAAGGTTCATCTTTTTTATCAACTCTAAATTTGACCAAGCACATTAGGTTCACCTTTAGAAATATAATTGTAGAGCACATCAATTCTAAAATTTCCCTTACTAATTAGAATATAAAATCTCAGCCTACAGTTGATTCCAATAATTTAAAGCTGACACAATATCATACACAAACATGTCTTTTTATTGTGCAGGTCATTGACACCTAGTAATTCTTAAGCCCATAACTTGGATTAGAAACATGCAAACAACAGATAACCTAAGCAGAACCCAATTGAGCTACAGAAGGTTGTTAATGACATCATGACGTGCATTTTTTCATATTTTTTCCCTAAATAACTTACCTTTCCTGATCACTGTAATTGGTGCCTGTGTGTCTGGTTTTATCATCGCTTGTTGAACCATTATTCAGAACATCCAGCAGATAATTGAAACGGTCTGCAGATGGAAAGTCATTGTGATCTGCATGGGCTTTAATGCAGAACAAAAATGGAAAAAAAAGTCAGGAAAATAACCAGAGAAACAGTACACAACAGAAAGAAGGTTAAAAGGAATGTTGAATTACTTTCTAGAAGAATTATTTAGACATACCTTCTGAGAGCTTCAACTCATCCATGTAACCAAAATAAGGTTGGTGGGACAGTGCTTTAGGTGCTAACTGCAACTCTGTGAGCCGCCTTCTCTCAAGTTCAAGGGCCTGCTCATGCTCTTCCATGATCTGCTTCCTGAGTATTCTGGAATTATCGCAGAGTCGAGGCACTGGAGAAAAATATACATAAGATATGACAGGAAAGGACCGTCATTAAAGACCTAAAAAGAAAGGCAATCACTGGGTAAATTGTAAGAAGTGTTTACCAACAGCCTGTGGCACATGCTCAATCAGGCAAGAAAGGTGTATTCAATATCAGTTTAGCTCCATGAAGATTTACTAGGCAAAAAGGCCCAACTGAAAGAACAAAAGCCTCCAATCTAGCAATTTTGTGGGTTATTCCTCTTTTACAAGCATTCCAGAATGCGATAGATCAGATGATTTGGTATTTTGTCCCCTAGGTGGGATTTTGTTCGATTTGAGCCGAGAACTTGCATGTGCAAGCTTATGTGCCAACTACTAAAGACAAGATAATATTCTCATGGCGTGTTAAGTATATAGCAATATATCCTAGTATAACTACAGAAGACCACAACTTCATACGTGAATATACTTACTTGAGTGAAGCTCGGGATCCATTTCCAGCAAATGAGAAGGGTAGTACATTGGAGGTTCAACTTTCTCTGTATATTTCCTGAAACAAAGAAACACTCTCAAAGGTAAGATTTTAAGGAGTTAGCACATGAATGAAAGAAGAGGGAATTCCTTCCAAAGCAAGATAATCATGAAATGGCAGGAAATGCCTTCTTCCAAACAGGGCATAGGTGTATTGGGAACCCCTCCCCCCTCCCACGTATTTTTGCAAATTGAGCTAAGTTTTGAACCCAACGCATCCCAAATGAACTCATTCAGGCAACTCTCAAAAATACTAAATTCACCAGTATTGCATCAACTGGTGAGAAAAAGGCCGTTAAAAAAACATAGCCCAAAAAACTTCCAATCATATCCCAAATCTGTTTCACCAGAAATCTAAACGACTGTAGTGAGAAAATGAAATGCCCTTTGTCTGATGTTGGGCATTTTACAGATGCAAAATAACTTTACCATTATGAGGTTGCCAGCAAACATGAAGGTTATCAGGAAAGAAACTCAACAGCCATGGTTATGCTCATTCAGCTAATTCCAAGAGGGTTTCTCTCTTACCTGTCAACAATCCTTGACTTCTCTCTATAGGGTTTCACCAGTACACGAGCCCCACAGACAAAATGGGGATTCCCCTTTGTCAAAATCATCTTCACCGTCTCTGGGTAGACAAAAGTAACAAAACCAAACATCCTTTTCTGCTGGCAAGGAATCCTTACATCCTGAACGGGGCCAAAGCTCCTACAAACAAAGGAAACCAGCATGAGAAACACACTAAAATTCCAATATGAAAAATCCGAAAATGGCTGGAACTTCACATGATAACAGCATTGAGATATACTTGAAGTAATTGGAAACATCTTCCTCAGTAAATGTGCTCTCAGCAGGAAAAGTCAAGTAAATTTGACGAGACCCAGCAACAATGGCACCAGGATCGTTCCTCTCACTCCTGTATTCCATGTATCTGGGAGCATCTTCCGCCAAAACTACTGAATGCTGTCCATGAGGTCTGAAACTCATTCACAAGATCCAACCGTTAAAAGCTTAAAACAATTATTAAAACTGAGAACCAAATCAAAGATCAAAGACTCCACCTGTCAATAAGTCGAATGCTGTTCTTCAGACGCGCAAGAAGCTTTGTCAGACTGAAACCAGCCTTCCCATGTCTTTGGCTCTCTGTAAGGTACCCCTCAGCCTGAAGTGTTCTCCCATACTTCTCATAATACATCATCGGCAGAGAGGCTATTGAAACAGGGACACCTCGTCTAGATTTCAAAAGCTCTGTGAGCTCCAACTCCAGCTTTTCAAGAGACCCAGGGGAGAAGAGATGATCTTCATTAACCAGCTCATTAGGATTTGGAGTGAATATCTGAGAGAAATTATCTCCAATAGTTTGACCATGGAAGTACCTACAGTTGGTTCCATGCTTACAGAAACCCTTGTTAAAGTAATGGCAAGCCTTCACTGGGAACTCAGGTAGGCTTGGAGATCTCCTACTTGTCCTTGCACTTAGCCCGCCCAGTGCAGGTTCTGGATAGTAGTAATTGCTAGAAAAGTCCAGACCCACCGAGTTTGGATCTAACTGTTCTTCTAAACTCAAGAACTGAGCTTGATTGTGAAGGCGAAATTCATCGGAGATGGAATCTGAATAAGCCGGAGGGATGAAGTCCATGCCACTTATGGTTTGCTGGTCCGTTGTGACTTGGGGGTCCCAGTAGGGAGCTGGGACCCGGAAGGTGGCCGGAGACGTAAAGGGGCGCGATGAAGCTGGCGAGAAAGGGGTGAACTGCAAGGGTAAATCTGTAACAGGGGCCGCATTCATAGAAGAGGGCGAAACTGGAGCAGAGGACACTGGCTTAGAGGACAAACCGAGCTCGGCTTTAGCCTTGTTGATCAAGGCCTGGATCAGATTGTCAGGACCAAAAGCCAACCGGATCATCTCCCGGTCGCCGTGGTCCTGCAGTAGAAGATAGCCAATAATCTTGGACACATTATCGGGCTCTAATTTCTGAATTCTATTGAAGACAACTCGTGTAGACTCTGAAAAATCCATTTCAAACCTATTTTCTGCAACCAAATACAAAACAAACAAGAGATTCACCTAAAAAGAAATTGAAAAAGCACCACCTCAAACACAGACACTGCATCTCTCTGAAATTGAAAAAGCACCACCTCAAAAAAAGACACTGCATCTCCCTGTAAGACAAAAGAGAAACAAAGCAACAATACAAGATAAACAGCCTACGAGCAGGGACTCTGAAACGAAAACTTCAACAAGGAAAAGAAAAAGTTGTAGATAACATTAGGTCAAAAAGAAGAAAAATGGTTGTTGCAGCTTGGCAAACAAAATAAAGTAACAGATCTAGTAAAAGAAGAAGGATATGAATGGATTCAACACTTAAAACCAAGGAGAAAGAGACCCCGGTCCATAAAACCTAGTAGAGATGAAAAAAGAGAGACGGAAAATAAAACCTTTCCTACTCCCACTATCTGCATCATTTCTCTCGAATTCTGAAATTCACACCATAAATAGTATTTGAACTTACCGTTAAAAGGCGCATAAGCTTCTTTAAAACACTACCTAATTACTTGTAGCTTTTTTTAAGGAAAGATAACTACAACATGAAGGCTCTGAAAACCCTAGAAAAAGCTTCCAGAATCAACAATTGCAGAACGGTTTCAGCAACCAAAATATGCATTTATTTCTTTATTTGGAACTAAGATATTTAAAGAAACGATTTGAAGTTTTGAACAAACAACCCGCATGGAAAAGGAGTTCTTTTTCTTCAAACAAATGAAGAGAATAAAATTGAAGAATCCTTTTTTTTATTTCCTGGACCAAAGAAAAAAAGCACTCTCTCAGCTTACTAACAATCATAAGTAAGAGAAACTAGTAGGAACCCAGTATTTAGAATCAAAAGAATGTTAAATAGTGTTCCAAATCAGCTTTGAAGATAAAGAAGAGACTTTATTTTTATTGATCAAAAAAAAAAAAGAGAGACTTTTTTTTAAATGAAAACTTTTGAACACAAAACCTTGGCATCATAATCCCAGCTTCACATCACTCTAACGGGTTCCCTGAGCTTAGAATATGGTTTTACAGTAACGAAGAAATGGAAGAAAACACTATTCATGGTTTTGAAGAAACCCGTTACAAAGACCAACTTTTCAAACAAATTGAAGCAAAAGTTGGGCTTAACGCTGAAATTTTTAGTTCATGAGAGTGGAGGAGCAAGCACCCATAAACGCTTCTTCAGGAAAAAAACTCGTAACCTGATAAATATATAAGAACTGAAGAAGGAAGCGACTGAGGCAGACCCGTCCATGAAAAATAAAATCAACTTCTGAACACTAAAGAACCCGTAAATAGAAGCTGATTTGCTAGGCAGATTGACTAAGAAACAGGAAGAATAGGGAGAGAGGGCGGGGGAGAAAAAAAAATTATTCAGATTGTACGTTATTAAAAACACAGATCTAAAATACCCACCAAACCTTACGGCTTCTTCTGCAGATATAATAAGTCAGAGGAACCAATCCAAAGCCTTAAACTCCATGATTCTCCTTCCCTCCCTCACTCCCTCTCTCTCTTTCAGTCTCTCTCTCCCTCTCTCTCTCTCTCTCTACACTCTACCTTCTCTCTCGTTATCTCTCTATTCTCTCATGCCTTCAATACTCTGCAAAAACGACATCATCCTAAAAAGCAAAAAGACAGAAAGGATAGCTTTAAGGGCGCCTGTCTTGAGTTCAAATCAACAGATAAATATATAAATAAACGCAAAAACAAAATGCTGATATCAAAAAAACAATTTTATATAATTATTTAATTCTTTTCGAATTTTCTAAATTCTTAAAATTCGAAATCATTTCTAGTTTGTGAAATTAGATTACAGGTTGTATTTGTCGTTACAGAAAATTACGCGAATTAAATGGAAATGGTACTGAATTTCCGAATACTGTGAGAACAGTTAGCCGAATTAAATGACATTAATGCCCCCAATCAATTGAGAAATAGTCGATGAAATATTCTTTCTCCAAAATTTTTATATTATTAAGAAAATATACTCATTCGGAAATACCTAAGCAGACGAGTTGTTCTCCACCTTTCTCTCTCCCTCGCTCATTGCGCTCAAAGAGTTTCCACCGCACATGTCGGCCAGCTGCAGCTGCAGCTGCAGCGCTTATATTTAAAAAGAAAGAAAGGCGACTTACAAGAGAGAAGATCCGGTGCTAGATGTTACAGAGGCAACTTGTTTTGTATACGAGCCCCGTTTGTTTCACTGAGAGGGTGACGAGGCGTCCAACAAATCACGACACAACCTGCCCACTTGCTGCTCATGGGCCCCATCATCTCTCCTTGTTGCTTCTCCGTGGGTCCTACCTTCTGTTTGGATTGTACGGGTTCCTTTCACTGATCACTGGTCACTGTATGTAACTCATATCAGTGCCATCAAAGGAACCGCGTGTCTCGCATGCAGTGAATCAATTCTCAATATGCTTCCTCCGATCTATCTATGTCATTTTGGGTTTAGGCAGTCAATGAAAAAAATGTGGTCAACGATCTAAAAAAAATTAAATAAAACGTGTCTGGTCTGGATGATGAAAATGGTTATTATCGTTCTATGATGGGCTTCAGCCTCCAGGGCTCGTGTGGACTGTGAATTACTAATTATGTGCTTATTTCATCTTCTTGTTCTCCTCCTGTCTTGCTAACGTACGGCCTCTTCAATTCAATTCAACTATATTATCCGATTTCATTGAAAATAATTTATTACTTTTAGTGAAAATAAAAGGAAAATTAGGATAAGGGCAGGTTGGTAATTGAGGAAGGACTATGGTAATGTGGGAGATTGGAAAGACCGGTTCAACCGGCATGAATAGAGGCGGAATACCGACTACCGTCAACGCCCGATGTGAGAGACACATCCAGGCGGTTGGCGATTGATGGTTGAATGATTAAAAATTTAAAAGCTCGTTTTAGATCCAATGAAGTAGACGTTTTCTGCGACGTCCGGATCTCCGTTAGAACCGGGCCTTTCCGTCCGGATCCGGAGTGCAAACACCCGGCCCCCAAAATTAGGGTTTGACCTCTTCTTTTCTTTTTTTTTTAGTTTTCCCTAATACAAATAAATAATACATAAAAATTGTTAAATTTAATTTTTACTTTTTAGAGATTAATTTAAAGCATAGCACAGTGCACACCCTCTAAACTTATCCTGTCCCATCATTGCATTGATATCCGCACACAAAGGCTCCTTTTATTAATTTGGATTATTGTTTATGATCAAAGTATGCTGATCAAAATGTAGTGCACGTGATTAATTTATTTAAAGTGAGTCGAATGATGAGTTAAAAGGCCCTCCCATTTCATCAATGCATTTCTTTGATTTTGTTTTAGAAAGCAAAAACAATTGACACACCAGCAAATAAGTGTGGGGTTCATGATGCCAAAAAAAAATGATACTAATAAGCTTATAACCAATCAACTGGCATCATCACAATGGTAGCCAATGTAGCCGGTGGGTTTTTAACTTTTTATCAAAATTCGCAAGGGGTTTTAAAGGGTTGTCAATCAATCGGGTCTACCCGATGGAGCCGGATCAATTATAATATTTATAGTTATACAATTTTGTTTTAATTGGGTTGGCGTTGTTTTTTTCCTGATTGGAACGATTCAGACCCATAATCGATTATATACATACATATATATATAAGATTTTCTTTTTTTTTATAATTTTTATCATATCTTATATTTGAAATGATAAATTTGATAAAAAAATATATAAGATAATATTAGTTAAAAGTTTTTAATATATTAACATATAAACAATTTTGTATTTTTCTATTTATTAAGGTTATATTATCAAAATTTAAACTTTAACTTATTATTTAAATAAACAAATATGATTTTTAGTATAATCGGGTCTTAATCCAATAAACCCGTTTATTAACCAAGATGGTTCTGGGTCTAGGGCTGCAATTAAATCGAGCTATAATTGAATAATTAGGCTCAAACCTGATTAGGTTGATTTGAATTCAGTTCTAATTAAATTTGAGTTAAATTTAAATCTTGGAGTAAGCTTAATTAGTTATTCAAGCTTGAGTTCAACCAATAAAAAGTTTGACTTGAAAGCTTACGAGCTTGACCTGATTAATACATATATATACAATACATAAAAAAATATACTATATATTATAAAAATATATTTTTATAATATATAATATAAGAATATATTATATATTATAAAAAATATCATATGCAAAATATACAAATATATTTATTTTTGAGCTTTTGAGTCGAAATTAAGACATACCAAAATTTGGCTCGACCGGCTCGATTGCACCCCTATCTGGGTCTATGATTTTATCCTAATACCTTATCTCGACCAAAATCCAACCCGTTGATACTCTATACGTTTTGGCTGGTCAAAACCTTTTCAGTATCATGTAACGTATTTCCGGCATCATATGTTTTTACAGAAGAGCGGCATGCTGAAGAGTTGCATTTTGCAATTTCTCTAGCCACTGGATTTAAATAGACTTGTTGGTCGGATGGAAACTTCCACTAATGCAAATTCAATGTGACATATTAGGATATTGGACCAATCATGGTTCAGCATGTCAGCCTGATGCATGGGCCCCACGTCTATGGAGCAGTCAAGGTGGGGGTGTTGTAAATTGACCCAAATATTACAAATAGAACCGTAGACGAATCGAACTCTGATTTTTATGGGTAGTTGTGCTGGTGCATTGTTGGATGGACGACCCAGATTGTGAGATTGATAGAACTTAGGCTATGGATAAAGATTTAATATTAGTTTAGTTTCTCTTTTTTTTCCTACTTTATCAGAGTCATATCAAAATTGCACATTTAACATCGCTAATCGTGTTATTCCGTGTTTGAAACGCTGCTTAAAATAAGGGGTTGGCGGGGTTCGATCTCGAGTCACTCGTAAAAAAAAAAAAAAGCTTGAGATGACGAAGAGAGAGAGAGGGAAAAAGAAAAAGGAAAAAAATTAAAATAATAAAAATGAAAAGATGACGTCAGCTTACTTTGTTGGTTCCCATCCAATAATAATAGCCAATAAATAATAATAAAAAAAAAATCCAAGGCTGTCATGTTGGTGAAGTAACCTATTACAAACCTGTCCCTTTAGAAGCCGATGTATAATTGAAGTTTTGAAGGAGGTCCAAGACCAAGAGCAGAATAGAAAAAAATTGAACGGAGAGAAGAAAGCTTATTACATGTTAGATATGATAAAAGCAAAATGTTGATTGCGTATCATAAATAATGATCCGGACGATCCAATCAGCTGGCAATGGCATCCATCCACCTTCCCCTGTGTGGGGGGTCCACTCTTGCTAATTCGCGAGCTATATAGAGGCAATCAGACGAGACAACAATGGTCAAAGTATATCAAGGTCATCACGCTATTTATTGGTTGCTATCACGTAATGAATACAGATCCTAATTCCTAGGGGGGTACAATAACAAAACCTCCACGAAATATGATGATTAATAGAATTGACCATTGCTATCAAATATATTTATATACTATAGTTGAAAAAGGCAAGCCGGGAGGTAATTGAATTCACAACTGTAAAAATAAAAGTTAAAATGTTAAAGGAAAACACCTCTACGCCCACCTAGCTTTTTCTTTCTTTAATTCCCATCCACCATTCTTTTCGTTTTTTATCTCAACAAGGTGAAGGTGCCTTTTGCGAGCTGCTTCACATGTTTTCACCTAATCATTGCTAGCTTTCCAGGCAATATGCGGTGCACACAGTACATCCACAGAGAGAAAGAGAGATGGGATATGATTGCCTACACACCCATGTGCATAATCAGTGTGGATGCAAGTTCGTGATTGGTGATTCTAAACATAGATACTGAACCTCAGTCCCAGGTTGCCATGTCAGCCTGCCAGCTCACTTGCTTCGTGGCTTTTATATTATTATTAATTTGCAACGTCAGTTTAGGGCGTCCGGTCCCTCAAATGGAACCTTGTCTGATATCACTGGCTGAGGAACATTAAAGGCCTCTTCTGTGCCTCTCTGCCGCGGGTCATAGTTGGTTTGAGTTCAACACGTGTCTGCAATTAATAAGCTTGTCAAGGCCGTGGATGTGTTTAATGGAACCCACATTTCCTATTCACTTTTTCCTATACATTCTCTACCAAATTTAAGCGCAACGCGTGTCATGACACACGCGCATTAGGTGTAATGCGTGCGGACTCTAATTCACGCCGTTTCAAAACACGTCCATTAAT